AGACCCCATCATCACCTTGCTTTTAGTGTAGCATGTCACCTTGCACGTCAATTTCATGTGCTCTTGTGTGTGTGTGTGTGTGTGTGCTGTACAGGTTTGGCATTAAATGTTTTGGCAAACAGTTTCAAAAGAAGCCTTGAGGCCAAATGTCGCTCATAACTCTCTGAAACGATTAACGGTCACTGCAAATTACTCATTTTGGCACGACTGACCTATTTGTGTGTATGACCTCAAATGATAATGAATATTTAAAATTATTTTGTAAAGTCCATTTGCATTGCAGTACTTGAAAAAAAATATGTTTAAATTTTTTTTTTTTGTCATACTTCTTCAAAACATGTTCCTGCTACTTGATTGTTAAAAATAATACAAACACACACACATTATGTATATATAGCCATGTAACTCATCATATAATTATTTAACCTATAGGATGGATTCGATTAAATTTGAGGTGTAAAAAGCGCTTGAAAAACAGACCAATTTATAGGAGACTGGAGAATGAAAACAAGCTCGTATAGCAACTATTGTGTTTTCTTACTCGTAACATTTCTTTATTTTTCTTAGCGTTTTCTGTGTTTATTGGAAAGGAAAGGCTTTGATAAATAAAAAGCTTGAAAAATAAAATCTTGAACGGTTGTAAACAGCTCGGCAACTAGCTGGAAATCATTTAGTCTCTTTGTGATGCTTTAATTATGTTGAAAATATCAGAAATCAAAATAAACTATAATTTGATAAAACAATATTACTGAAACATCCCGTCGTTTTTATAATAATAATTTATTATAAATAAGACAATAAATTTACGTGAATATTCGTGAGCTGTTTATAACTCGATAAAGCTTGATTAATAAGGTGTCAATTGAAAAGTGGGCAGTAAGTAGCTACTGATAGCTATAAAACCACAACATGATTTATTGTTTGGGATGCAAAACTGTTTTCATAAATTCAACAAATATATATTTTTCATTAATTATAAAATTACTACGGTAATGGGAGAAGACTGTCGTCTGACGCAGTGATACTATTCAATATTTATAAAATAAAAATGTATGTAGACATATAAAAAAACATGAATTATTTTAACATGAACGGTTGTTGTTGAATAAAAATACATTTAAAATGGTATTCTTTTGCTTTGCATATTTTAGCTATTTCACAATATCTTAAAAACAGATTATTTATTTTATCCTTTTGTTTTATGCACATTCGATGTTTCTTTAATAATATAAAATAAAGTGTTGTATTGGTGTGGACATCCCTAAAATACAGTTTATGCATTAAATCAAATCATTTCACAGTCGGCAATACTACAACAGCAACAGATGCAAACAGCCTTCAAACAAGAAAACGACAATAAAATATTGTTTCTTGGTTCCGAAATTATACATTTATTTAACAAAGATATTTATGATATTTAACAAAGATATTCATGATATTTAACAAAGATATTCATTTATTCTCAAATAATAAAGTGTGAATTGGGGGGAAAAACATTTATTTCAGAATGCAAAATGCATCATTTAAAAATAAAAAAGCTATTATAGATTAAACGCATAATTAAGATTATTCTGATGCAACTTGAGCAAAATTTCATACTAACTGATCGATAAAAAAATACAAGTAAACAACAGTGCGACTAGACTGTTATGATGTTCACCGGTCACTTCCCACCGCGCAAACATGCTGTTTGAGATGACTGAACGCAGCGCACTGGAATCACACTGCTTTATATATTTCAATGACTAAAAACGACATAAATTAGACCTTCAAAGTGTCAACATAACTTCTGCACTCCTCTAACAGGAACTCAGTGGATTTGTGACCCGCGCTGACACTAGAGGCGCCCTTGGCTCAGCCTGTGCGCTTTTACGCACAGCATTATTATTCTTGGAAAGCCTACTAATCAATAGATCCGCACTGGTTGAAATACACAACACTGTATCGGATCAGGCAGGATATTATGCACGCTTTAGGGCCCTATTATTTAACACAACTAATCCGAATCCCCTCGAAGTATTATTAAGACACTTTGAGAGTGCCACTTTGATTCAACATCACGAATGCTTTAGTTCTGGATCATCTAAACTTTATTTCAATGCGTTTCAGGTAATGTGTGCACAATTATTCGTCCCTCCTATTCAGGCTACGTGATCGGTGACGCACAGGAGACTCTCCAGACTCCAGCGCGCACGGGGCTCTCCGCGCATTATGATGGAGTGAGCCGAGACTGTACTGTCCAGCTTCCAGCAAGAGAAGAGCTCCTCCTCCCTCCCCTGAGATGAGGTAGTTGGTAAGACCGAGCGCTGGTTAATCACCAATTTCTCGCATCGCGTCGCGTCCTCCCTCTTGAAAGTCCTGTCATGCATGCAGCGTCCCCGCCGTTGCGCGCCTGACCTCCTGCGTTTTCAACCACGGCTTTTGTGTGTCCATCGCCCGGTATGGGAGATCAGAGTGAGCCGACCATGGTGCAGAAGTCGACATCGTTCAGCATCAAGAGCCTGTTACTCCCATCGAAGTTTGACGATGAGGGCGCGGTGCGCAGCGGCAGCCCGGCGGCACCGGACTTGGACAAACCCCTGGAAGCGTCCGAGATGGACTCCGCGCAGCGAGACGCGGAGGAACAGCCGTCTAAAAAGGGAAAGAAATTCGACAAGCCTCCGTTCAGCTACAACGCGCTCATCATGATGGCCATCAGACAGAGTCCCGAGAAGCGGCTCACGCTCAACGGCATCTACGAGTTCATCATGAAGAACTTCCCGTATTACCGGGAGCACAAGCAGGGCTGGCAGAACTCCATCCGGCACAATCTGAGCCTCAATAAGTGTTTCGTGAAGGTCCCGCGGCATTATGACGATCCTGGGAAAGGGAACTACTGGATGTTGGATCCCTCCAGCGATGATGTGTTTATCGGCGGAACCACCGGGAAGCTCCGCCGGCGCTCGGCGACCTCGCGGGGAAAGTTGGTGATGAAAAGGGGCCTCCGCTTCGCGCCCCTCGGTCTCGGACTTGGCGAACGCCCGAGCAATCCGCTTTATTGGCAGCTGTCTCCGTTTTTACCCCTGCACCATTCGCACTATAACGGTTCCACGCACGGATTTCTAAACCAGGGACACGCGTACGGATCGTTACTCCAGGGCGTGGAGCCGCTCGGGAACGGGGACATGTCTCGCCACATTCTGGGAGCCTCTAGCGGGACTCTCAACGGGTACGGTGTGTCTCCGCCGTCCGCCGCCGGATTACTTTCAGGGCACAATGGATACTTCGTACCGGGTGCGCAGCAGCCGCAGCCGCTCCCGAGCGCGCCGGGATACGGCATCTCCAGCTCTCCGTCCCCGCTGCTGTCGGATTCCCTAAGAACTAGCTTACCGTCCTTCACAGCACCACTCTCTAGCGGACTTCTGTCTCAACACAAACGCGTCGCGCCCAATTCGTTCCTAAGCTGAGCGTTGCGCGCCCTCTCCAATGGGAACATCCAAACTTTCCTAGAAAACCTCGCCACGAAATGTGCAAGCTGTCCTTTTGTGTGAGGACTGTGCGTCTGGAATAGTTTTTTTTTTTTTTTGGTTTTTGTCTATTTAAGTTTATTTTGTAGAAGTAGTGTGATGTTATGCCAAAGGCAATAACCGTGCGTTTGTTTTACTTTCTTTTTTTCTAAAAAAAGTGTTATTTATAGTACTTCTTTGTGAATGATGGTTTTGTATTTATTCGAAATGTTTTTTATCCTTTGTTACTATGGGATACCGTTATTATTAGATGTTTGGCACATATTATTCGTTTAGTATGACTAATTCCTTTTTTATTTATGTCTCAAACTGTGAATGCGCCTTAATATCTTAAATCAGGGTTGAGCGTTCGGACCGTCTCAGGTGTGCGTTCTGACAATGAAACATTATTATTATTATTATTATTAGCTGTGTAAACCTGAAATATGGTAACATATACATCTATATGCAATGTTTTATGAATTTGCCTATCGGTTAGTGTGGGCCTGTGTTCAGAGAGGTCATGTAATGACTTACTAGTAAAGCTAAGCTACTGAATTAAAGCACTGGTTTAAATGAACTCTGTGTGGGATCAGTTTATATATGTACATACTGTCACGTAAAATGCTGTTTTGTGACGACACGAGGTTTTGTTTACACACATAACAGTATTTTAACAGTATTTTATTTCCAGTTTTTACGCGTGGAGGTGATTCAGCACCAAAGACAGATCATTAATGCTCTTTTTGAAATATAACATCCCTGCACATTCATTTGCTATTTTGACATTCTAAAGCCATTATTTCGACTCTCTGTGCAAATCAGAAATGTGATTTCTAGAGCGGTTTATTTCCCTTTTAACCAACATGTGATTTATAATTCTGCACCTTTAGTTGTCATAGTCTTTTAATGTGCAGATTTGTACTAGTTTTTTTTTTCTTGTATATATGCCTGAACTTCCGTTCAGAACAAATAAATAAAGTATTGGAATATTTCTGTATGAATGCAAACGCGTCCTTTCTAGTCATGCAACACAAATCCGCTTTTTTGTGTGAACAAAGACTCACCAGCTCGAGGGATTTAGCTTCACGCACGCAGATTAATCTCAATGCATTTACCTGCATGCTATGCATTTAAGTTATGCATGCTAGAAATGTTAAATATAGCCTACTGCTGGAATATTTTCGTCGTACAACACATAGTTTTCATTATTGCGTCACTGATATAGGCCTGGTTCATGCACACACACACACACACACACACACACATATATATATATATAGTCACCAATTATAATCTGCGTAAAGTCTATAAAGCGCCATCGAGGCAATCCAGACAAATAACGAAACCACAATATTCACTTCACGAACTAATGCATTGTTTTCACGTGCACAAATTAATAATAATTATAGTAATACAGTTAAGATATAACTGAGCCTTTACGCAAACATTCAGCGAAATCGGTTCACATGAGTCATTCTGACCCATTTCCAATAGAAATAATGCTAAACTTACTGTCCAGATGTTCCTGAAACTTCAGCTCCACGTGTCCCGGATCAAGCAGAAGTGGAACACTCAGTGAGGCACAGACAATATGAAGTCCAAAAAACTCCAGACACCTTCAGAGGAGCGGGAGTGACATTAATGTGCTCGGACAGACGTTCAGAGGGAGGGACTCACGGACAAAGATGCTCAATTCACAGCTCTGTTACGTTATAAAACAATTCCTGCACTTTATTTACTGTAGAGACTCGAATATGACATAATACGTGACCAAAAATAAAGCCACTGCTAGTTCTAAAAACAGTCTGTTATTAAAAACAAGTTTTGGCGTGTCAAAATAATTTATTTTAATTAAGAGGTAATAGTACGTATTTTGCCATCCACTAACACTTGTTTATATATGATGATGCTATGTAAATTAGTGTGTAGCCTACAGCAAAAATAATAATTAATAATTTATTTAATAAAAGTTTTACGAAACTTGATTCAGAGCCAAATGAGACTTTGATCGCCTACTACAACAACGTTTTCTGTCATTTTAATGACTTATAGCCTATATTTAAGTACTTTATTTGTTGAAAGAATCTTCTGATCTAGAGCTAAATTAGGCTTTGCCAATGATAGCCGATACGACTAATTTTTCTGTCTTTTTACTAAGTTTTACTGTTTAAATTACATCAAGGCCATTCATCCATTCATTAATTTATTTTACATTAACCTGAAGCATTAAGAAGCCAATAGCCTATAACAGCTGACCAAAGGAAGAAACATGTTAACTCATCAATTTTAAAATAAATAAAACATTGAATTATTAACAGTTTTACGAATCTTCTGATTTATATCCAAATGAGGCTTTGCCAATAGCAAATACGAGTTTTTAAAAAGTTTTTCTGTTCAGATTCAAACAAGGCCCGTTTATACGTGTGTGTGTTTATTTATTTTACATTAATCTGAAGTATAAGCAGGCTAATAAATTAAACAGCTGACCATCAAAGGACGTAACATGTTAATTCATTAGTTTTACCTCCTCAAAACAACAAATAAACAAACAGATAAATAAATAAATAAAATACGGCCGTTAAGCACAAAAACAAAACAAAAAACAAAACAAAACACTGTTTTATGCATTTAGGTCTTAAATGCAACAGGGCCTTGATCTTCAAATACAAACCGTAAAATAGCACAGCAATATAGGCCTATAGGACTATAAATGAAAAAATAGCATGCAACACATTTTTTTCTTTTAAGCTACAAGAAGATTCAATTCGTTTATGGGGAACCAAAGTAGCATATACTGTAAAATACTCAAAAATAAAAAAATCCCGGACGAGCCCCCACTTGTTACAAGCCTCCCTGCTTGTCTAGGGGTAAGTGTGTCAGTCTGGTCTGTAAAGATGTCAGATTCTCCGCGTGCACCCAGTTTTAATTCAAAGTTGCACAAGTTAGAAAAGTAACACTTAACACAAGATTCAGCTCAACTACAACGTTTGTTTTGAAAAGAATAACAAAAGATGTCAATCTGGGCCTATATGCGTTTATTGGTTCTTCGTGAAACATCTAAATCTTCAATTCTGCCACACAAGAAACATTTGTAATTTGTAACCCATTTCAACTAATTATTTGATCACAGAAAGTCGAGGATGGTCTTTGATGTGAGCTTTTGGTTCATTCTGAAGATCCGCTGCTCTTTTGTCAAGTGTCTGGAAACGTCTCTGCTCAAGTGGAAGTGTTTTTCTGCATGTCTGTATGAAGGTAAGACCCTTCTGAGAGCTCCTTTGACAAAAGAAGGGTCTTAAGGGCTCATTTTCAGGTCACTTGAGACAAAACCGCTCTTAATTTGCAAAGCGCTTTCCTCTAAGCACAGAAAAGGGCATTATGGGTCGTTTAGGGATTAACACACCTGCTGAATGCCTTAAACTCTGTCAGATGAACAGAATTATCAAAAATCGACAAAAATGTGACCCAGAGACCCATGACCCAGACCCAGAGACTAATGATAATTTGTCAGCAGAATAATTGCAGTTTGAAACTCTGGTGTTTGTATGGAAATAAACACATCATGATCCACTATAAGGTGACGTTTCACTGATATTCCCCGAAGACAGGGACGATATTCACAAAACAGACAAAAGCTGTCTAAACATGTCCGACACAATACATCCACATCAGCTCTGAACACACTCATCTCAGTCTGTTTATTCAGTTCACATTTATTGGCATCACTGTATAATACAAGCTAGACAAAAGAAAAAAAAAGATTCACTGTAAGTATAATTAAATTTATTAAAAATCTACAGTAAAAATCTTACATTTACAGTATTTGACATAAAAGACGAACATTACTAAATGAATGTTATGCAATAAATGAAAAGTAACAGATTAAGTGGAAATACAACACTCAAAACTATGTTTCAAATCAAGGACAAAATGGCATGTTGTGGTAAAACAAATGTGTGTGTGTGACACAAAGTAAAATGTACTTTATTTTTAGTGGAACAACATGCAGATAAAATGTTATAGAGTTACAGGTTTTATCTCTTGTACAATGTATATGTTTTATTTAAAAATGTTTGTCAAAAAAAAAAACATTTTACTGAAAAAAATGATTCATTGAATTTACTCAATTTTTTTTAAGGTAAGTGGTTGCAATCAATTTATTTCAGCTACATTTAAATAAACAAATTTAGTTGACTAACTTTCAGCAAAATTTGTTTATTTAAATGTAGCTGAAATAAATTGATTGCAACCACTTACCTTAAACAAATTTATATTGTTCATTAATATATATTTTAATGTTTGATTTGGTTTTTTTTTTCATCAGAAAGACAACTTTGATAATGAAGCGGTTATTGGTAATTGAATTTATTCAATTGGAATATTCAACTTTTTTAAAATTATGATTCTTTATTCGTATAAATTATAGTAAAATAACCAGTAAATTATAATTAGTCAACGCTGCTGATGTTAAAGATCTGCTTTTAAATTAATTGAACATGCAGGTGGCTATTTGTGATTTTCCTTGAATTTTCTTTTATTTTTCCCTTTGAAATAAATAAATACAAATAAAAATATTAAAATGAAGAATTTCTGAGTAAAGAAACATGTTTAAACACATTGTAAAGATTTGCACTCATTCAGGTCAGCATTAAATATCTTGTGGACTTTTCTCAGAAGCATACTCTGTGTATTTTCTCCATAAATATAAATTAATTCAAGACATTAGAGCGATGAAGCCACTGAACCAACTTGTGACAAAACGTCAGTAAAAAAGTTTTCCATGTGGTCCAACATAAATGCTTATCAAACTCTGCATCATCAAAAATTTATTATTCATACTCCTATTATTCATAATATATATATATTTTTTTATTTTTTTTATTTTTTTTTGCCTGGTATTTTCTATTTGTCAAATTTTGAGAAATCCTTAATAAAAGTGCTTTACTTTGTCATTTAAAATAAAGATGGATTTTTTTAAGCATCAGATTTGCACAAAGTACACCTGTTGCATAAACATTAACTTCCAAGTTACATTTTACAATATGTGTTTTCATATAATATACACTGTTAAATATTAAATATATTTCTAATAATTAAATCAGTAAAGTTTATAAATACACAGACACAATGGCAGAAAATCAGAGAATGGGTTTAATTTGAACTTCTTTAAAGTATTCATTTATCTAGTATATGGCAGTTTAACATTGGTTATGATTATTTATGAATAGATATAATGCAAATTAAACTTTTTTTTTTTTTTACCAAATCTAGCTAACATAATATATGTCCATCAAATGGGTTAAAGGTGTAACTTACCCACTGTAAGCGGTGAGAACTTAAAAATAGGTTGAAAAACATCTTCCCAAGTGTGCAATCTTTTATTTTTTTATTCACAGGAGCAGCAAACTCTTCAGACAATTAAATATATCTGGCTAAAACACACAAACACACACAAAAGCACATCATTAATGATATATTATATACTCTATATCCGCCCTGGGATCGTCCCAGATGGGAATGAGGTGTGTTTCCGAAATGTGAAACCCCTCAAACCTACAGGACTCTGAAAAGAGGCATTACTAGCTGAGAATTAACCCACGCTGGACTGACTGCTGTTGACCAAACTCACGAGAAGGTAAATTAAAAAATAATAATAATTACAATTCAAATTTGTCATGAATTAAAAAAAAATAATAATAATTTGTATATATATAATATATATATGAAAAGAGGCATAGCTGAGAATTAACCCACGCTGGACTGACTGCTGTTGACCAAACTCACGAGAAGGTAAATTAAAAAATAATAATAATTACAATTCAAATTTGTCATGAATTAAAAAAAAATAATAATAATTTGTATATATATAATATATATATATATATATATATATA